AAGATGAAAGAATTACAATCATACTAATAATATATAATAAATTTAAACAAGCGATTAGATATATACTTTAGCCAAAAAGCTGGATCAACATCCGAAGTAATCATATCATTTGCGCGAATGATCTTCTTTAATTCGGTTTCAACAAAGAAATTAAAAGAATCTATATGTTGCTTTACTAGTCCCTTGACTTTTAGAAAAGCAGGTAACAACTCCCATTTATCCTACAAAAATATTTTATTACTTTGAAGAAATTTTAACATTAAATAGAAACAGATATATACCTCGACATTTTTCACTGGATCAGTTAATCCTTTGGCTTTATTAGATAAAATATTCTTTAATTTTGCATAAGACGTTTCATAATTTTCGGTATTAATCCCATCAGCGAAAGTGACGGTCTTTTTGCCCATGATTATTTAGAATTGAATAGGAAAGCAAGGTGGATTGTTGAATGCTTATCTTGCAATTTTATTGGACGATGTTGATAAATTTGGAATTTCAACTCTTATTGGTCGCAGTAATCTATAAAAATTTCACAGTTCCGATATCACATGATTACGTCAATTTCTTTCAATAATGAAGATACAGTCAATTCTGAATATAATGAACCTTTTTATAATGAACATACTATATAACAGATAACGAAAAATTTATTATAAGTTCAGTATATAAAATATAATAAGAATCATCAGTTTGTTATATAGAGTTGTCTGTATAATTGAAATTTTTAACTTGTTCGATACCAAAATAGTCGATAGAATCAAAAAATTTCTATGCTATAATCCAAAATTGGCCCAACTTTTAATCATACAATTTTTGGGATTCGCATTACTGATCCGATCAATTTATGAGAAATAATTAAACAGATGAAAGCTCGCACAAGAATTAAAAATAATAATACTGTAATAAATTTTATAACTTTGATTATAAAATTGTTTATCTTAACGATCCGTAGGATTTATCTTGTACTTTTTCAAGAAATAAAGTGAACGGAGTATTATTATCTTTCAAATCCATATATCTACATACTGTGGGAGTTGATCTGTAGCATTAGAATCAGCTAGGGATGTTAAGTGGTCCACAGGGCCTAGTCCGGACCGGTCTGAACTGGGGACTAGTTCAGGACCGGTCCTGAACTAGCGCGCTAGTCACATGATATTAAAAGTGTCTTTTTTGACACATCGAATAAAAATAAATAAATATGAATCAATAACAGAACTTTTTAAATTACCATAATTTAAAACTAGTTGGGCGATTAATAACTTTATATAATACTATACTCCGATTGGTTAACTTTAAATAACGCATTTTATATATTTTATATTTAAACCCGATATGGTTAGATATGAACTAGTAGTCCTAACCGGTTAAGGACCGGTCTTTTTAACGACTACAATAGGACCGGACCGGACGGACTTTTTAACATCCCTAGAATCAGCATAAAATCTACTCTTCTTACAGCTGTTTTCATAAATTCTGGGACATCTGGCAAAAAATGGTCCGAACAAATATTGCCGGTTCGATAAGTTTG